ATGAAGTGACGGAAAGTTGATGAAAAGTCCTACTTTTGATAGCATTTCTCAAATTTTCCTCTTAAATCTTTTTTCTTGTTTTTATTTTTCCTTGCTAGGTGGATCTTGGGATCCTCCAATAACATCCGTTCATGGTACATCGTGCGATTAGAAATCATTGTAAATTTTTTTATTTAAAATTGAATTAAAACAGTATATGATAAAAACTGATCGTACAATGTACAATGAATAGATGTGATTGAGATCCTAACAAAGAGAATCCGGCAAGAATCATTTCATAAAGAGGATCTGGCGAGGATCCTCTCCCTTTTCCTTGCTCTGCTTTAATCATTGGGTTTGGGACTGATTCTGTTTAATGTCGTGACGTAAATGATATCATCTCATTTGTTTTCTTTTGTATAATAATATGTAATTGGGTTCGCAAAAAGAGGTTTATGTGGTAAAATCGACGGTGTATGCAGTGGAATAAATAAAATAAGACACAAAATTTACGAGGTTTCTCTACAGTTAGTGTGACTAGAGTACGTCCTCGGGGCAGCGATGGTGCTTTCATTATAAATTAGAATAATAGAAGTACAAAAGTAACTTTTTCTATTATCTCATCTCTTTTTCCTCTCTTTTCTCTCTGCCTTTTCCGTGATGCTTCTATCCTCATTCGTATCTCTCCTCCTTCACCTCTCATTCATTTTATAAGCAAAGAGAATACTATTCACTTTACAAATTTTCTACAAATGAATAGTAAAAATACTGGGCATAAATAGTGACAAAACATTCATGTGGGCCATCCACATATCATTCATAACTCTCCTCCTTGGATGGTCACAAGTCTTCGATTGACTAGTTAAAATCTTGATCTGTTTTGGATGCTCCCCTAGATGAGTATCTCCCTCTGATTTCAAATCATTTAGGCTAATCGTTGATCATTCTGCTTCAGTCTCTTAGGAAGAAGAGTTGTGGAAAGAGGTGATTTACTTGTTGTTAACTTTCCACAGGCTTGTTCTTGAATTGGGTTGGGGGGCATTTTGCTAGACTTCCTCCAAATGTCTGAATTTACTACTTTTATCTGGAACTGAATTTGATTCAAGGGTGGTGAACATTTGATCTTGAATTGGACTTGTGATTTCTTCAAGGGTCGTCTAAGCTTGATTTTGAATGAATTTGGACTATAAGGAGCTTCATGTGGCAAGTAATCTTTGGCTTTGTCGAGATGAATCAGCACGTCTTTGTTGCACTTGTCTCCACATGCTTCAATGTATCATTTTTACTTGCCTTATCTGTTCTCCTTGCATAAGTGGTATTTTCCCCGGTTTTCCCCCATGCATGTGTGGCATCTTCTCTTGTAGTATTTGTTCATTAATGTTGGAGTGGAATGCAAACCTTGCATTTGAATGGTCCTTCACTTCTTAGTGATTCATCTATGCATGGCAACTTCAGTGTAAGAGCCAACAACAAACCAATTATTCTGTGGTGTTGATGACTTAAGACCCAACTCCATCAATAGTTGAAGATGAGTAATCGAGAGCAATTCTAGGTAAGCAATTAGGAAAGGTTTCAAGCAGTCAGTTCCTTACCGAAAGTTTGAGTTGAGGTTCCGACATATTGCTTTCTTTATCCTTATCTTTGCAGGTAAGAACAAAGACAAAGGAAAGGACAAGAAACTTGCATGATATGAGATACTCTTGCTCTTGTCCCTGATGATATGAGATAATCTTGCTCTGGTGTGACTAGTTTTGAAGAGGTATTCTCGGAGATGAAGAAAACTGGGCATTTCGAGATGCTTTGTTGAAGATGCATTCTCAGATATGAGGAAGAGTTAGGTATTCTTGCAAGTCTGTCTTGTTATGGAGAACGAAGGTCGACATATATAGAAATTTTTCAATAACAAGTAGTGATGTTGTGCCTTTACTCTTGTCAGCAACTGTGGTGTAATTAGAACAGTAAGATTTACGCTTTTTCAACTTTGTCAGAGATCTTTGACAAAGTTGCACGTGATATCCAAAAGACTGAGATTGCGTTTGAAAGGTACCAACAAACTTTATTCAGGAAAATCTAGCTTTTGAAATTCGAATAGCGGTGTCTCTTCGATCTTTGAACAAGTGGCTTTGTTGTCTCTTCTTTTATAGAGACACAATTGTGTTCAAGAGTATGCTCAGAAAGTTGTTGCCTGTAGAAATCTTCCCCTTCTTGCACTTTTGAGATTTTATTTGACCTCTTTTTTCCTTTATCATTTCTGAAAATGGCTTGCTCATCTAACATTTGCTTAGATTTGAGTCTTATGATTGATACAGACGAGCAGCGTCATGATAATATATGGCGCACGTCCTTCTTATCTTCTAATGGTCCTCTTACGGTTGGCAATTCTATGATAAAGAATAACATTAACTTTACAGTGGTAGCTAGGAATCTTCTCAATCCAAAGGATAACAAAATCCTTTCAAAACGGTATGATGAGTCGGCTGTTCAAGACTCATTGGCTCTCAGTGTTCAATGTGCGGGCTCTGTATCCAATATGGGCCAACATCTACTTGCTCAAACTCGCCAAGTTGAATCATTGATGGCTGAGGTGGTAAGTCCTAAGAATAGATCAGAGGGCTCAAGCACAAGAATGGAGTGTTACACGTGCTTGCAAATAATTACTCGACGAGCATAAAAAGAAAGCTCGACCAGCTACAGGAATCCTAAAGTTGGATTCAAAGTGATCATCAAAGGTTCATTGCTAGATTCTGAAGGCAACTGATGCTTTCTCCTTCTGGTGTTTTGCCAAGTACTGGGTGCCACATGATCAATCTCCAGTGTCTTTCCTTCTAGGGTACTGTCGAGTACTTAGGTTTCACATGAGCAACTTTTGTGAAGGCTTCATCCTGTTTGTTTGTTTTAACTCATGTATATGCACATATTTGTAATTTCTCAGAAGTATTAATAGATAAGTTTTATTTCATTCAATGTATTGTGCCAAATACAATAAAGTATATACTTCACGAAGATGTGGTACTTCTGGACCAAATATCAATTTATCTTTACTCTCACAAAGATAAATAATCGTTCTTAGTGTCTACATCATTTGAGTATTTGACTCATAATTTTCAATCCATATGATTCTTTAATATCATAAACAGCATGGATAAGATTCGTGTTGGCATATTGTTTAATCTGTAGTTCGAGACAATATTTCTCTCAACACTTTATAATCTTTCTAAACTATTCAGGAGTTCCAATTTAATATCAACTCTTGCAAAAGATTTTAGTATGTTGCAACAATATTATAATGAAAGTACTCACTAAGGCAATTTATACCATCCATTGATATTGAGTACATATTTTATGCTTACCGTTCCGAAGCTTACTTTAAGCAATTCGAATCCTTCAAGGATTTTCTACACTTCATGACATATTTTTCTTTGAAATTTATACAAAGCAATTTGCTCCCATGTATACTTGAGGGATTTACTTATGGAGATATAATGTGGGACGACTCACAACCCTTTGTATATAATTCTCCATTTTTGGCCAATAATTTTGTTAACAGAAAAAGAACGAGACTCAATATCAACACAGTTTATTGATGAATTTAGTAGTTACTTGTAGAAACCAAAATTACCATTGGTTATCATCAATCTGTGATCTCATATTCTCATGTGAATGTACATGCATAAAAGCTTTTCATTTCTTTTTGGATATCCATTGCCTCTTCAAGGGCATTACACTATCTTCTTCTAGGATAGTCATAATTTAGAGAATTCGGATCATAATCTCCTCTTGAGCATTATAGAGTTTGGATTTTAATCTCCAATTCCGGGAGTTAAGTCATTGGAACCTATACGTCTATCATGCTTCATGCATGAGATATCAACATTCCCATGTCCACTGATTATCCTTTTTGGGACATATATCCATGCAACGACTATCATACTTCTGGTACGTAACAGTTATGCTTTGGGAATGCAATAGTTCAGTACTGTCATATTCTTCTTCTTTTAAATGACTAAACTTTTGAGTTTGAAGGTCTGGCCACGTTTCAGGCGTGCAACAGATAAATCATTTACTGCCTCATTATATTGTCCAACAGAGACATTAATTCTTGTAGGCACATTTGCAGCAAGTATATGTGATTTCATCACCTTCGTTGCATCATTAAATGCATATGGCATTTGATTTGCATATCGTTGCATCATTTAACTATTCTCACTTCGTTTTTTTATTGATTGCTTCATGAATCAAAATAAGATAAATTCTCTTCGTTCTTCTGGAACGGTCTTTTCTCATCATTCTTCTGGAATGATATTTTCTTATCGTTCTTTTGGAACGAAATTATTTTCTCCCCCAAACGGCGGGAAAATTGTCTTATCAAAATGATAGTCCGCAAACCACGTGATAAACATATCCCCAATCAAGGGTTCTAAATATTGAATGATGGATGATGTTCAACATCAATGCCCAATTGGCGATAATGCCTCATTTCAGTACGTTGTGGCAGTACAATGGACACATAGATAACACAACAAAAAACTCGTAAATGTGTAATGTTTGGCTGGTTCTCAAACACGAGTTGTACTGAGAAGTATTGATGGTTGGTAACAAATTTCAACCGAACTAATATTGCATCATGTAAAATGACATGTCCCCATGTAGAAACTTGGCAATTTCATTTTCATGAGTAGAGCACAGGTAATCAATTTCATTCGCTTAATAAATACTTCTGCTAAACCATTTTGAGTATGAATATAAGGAACTTCTAGTCCTGATTTAATAATATGTAGACTGAGACTCTTATGGCTTTTATTACAATTAAGTTGAGGTACTATGACACTTCAAACTTACTGTACTCATCAATGAACTTCAAGTCCTGATCTTTTTGTATGACGAAACTTCAGGTTCAATCATTTTTATATGATGAGGATCAAGAAATTACAGGTTCTGATCTGATCAAGGAACTTCGGGTCCTTTATATACTCATCGTAACAAAAGAAGTACAAAAAATAAATTAAAGCAATAGGCGGTAATTCCAGCCATAGTGAATAAATTGTATACAAGTAAATAAAGCTTGTGACAAGGGCTTTAATTCAGCACCATTCACATAAATCAAAACTTAAAGCAGTAGGCAATAAAACCGTCTATGGTAAATAAATTGCTTTAAAGTAAATAGAGCTTGTGACCATTCACATAAATAAATACATATATATTTTCTTCTTTCTTTTCAAATGGTGTAACACCATCTAAAATGAAAAAAGCAGAATGATGCATCAGCACCATTTGAATGAAAAATAATAATGGAGCCAAAGTTTTTGAAATGTTGCAACATGTGAATGAATAAGAAAAATAATAATAATATTTTTCTTATTCATTTACATGTTGCAACATTCCAAAAACTTTGGCCCCATTATTATTTTTCATTCAAATGGTGCAGATGCATCATTCTGCTATTTTCATTTTTTAAATTTTTAAATTTTTTATTTCTTGCGTTTTCAAATGGTGCCGTGCATTATTGCCTTTTTTAGATGGTGCCATACATATTCCATAAACTTCCCCTCTTTTCTTTCTTTGTCTGTCTCTACAAATCTCGAAACTTAGGACCAGCTAGGTTGTTGTGGAGGTCACACAAAACTAATTCAATCCAAAAAGGCTACCAAAGACTGGCGTTGTTCTTGCATGGTCCAGAGAACATGGCATCGCAAAGCAAGAACCTCCTTACAAAGACATAGATGACAGTGGGGTTGACGGAGGCACAAGAGAGAGAGGCTTGTGTGGAGTCATTCTTGCCATCACCATCTCAAACAACCAAGTATTCATGGGAGTTATCGAGATCCGTAAAAAACGACGCGATCTGGGTTTCCAAGTCTGATGAGATTCTTCTGGATCTCTGGAAAACAGTTATCAGATACAAGTTTTCTTATCGCGTGACGACTACAAGTCGTTGTAAATTTCAATTCTTATCGAAATTCGATGGGGTGCTTCTGGTGCGGTGGGAGAGACGAAAAATGGACATACCTTTGCTTGTTTTGCTGTACCTTTGTTTGTCTGTAAGATCTCTCCATCTCTCTTGTCCACAAGAGAGATACGAGATTACAGGTCTAGCAGGGATAAAGATCAGCACATCAATAGTTAGAGTGATAAAAAGAAAAAGTGATAAAAGAAAGGTTGATGGATTTTTGGGACAAGATGATCTTCCCTGTTTGCAGTGTCTAGCTTGCCCTCTCTACCATGTGATTTTTTTGGTGCTCATTCTCAGAGCTAAACTGCTCATAATTCCTCAAGTTCGACTTGTGTTTATCCGAATTTATGGCGTTATGCTTTCCACTGACATGAGAGCATCTCGTGTTGATAACGTGTTATAAAATCGACGGTGTGTGCAGTGGAATAAATAAAACAAGACACATAATTTACGAGGTTCCTCTACAGTCAGTGTGACTGGAGTACGTCCTCGGGACAGTGGTAGTGCTTTCATTATAAATTAGAATAATAGAAGTACAAAAGTAACTCTCTCTATTATCTACTCTCATCTTCCTCTCTTCTCTTTTCCTCTTCCGTGCTGCTTCTATCCTCATTTGTATCTCTCATCCTTCTTCACCTCCCATTCATTTTATAAGCAAAGAGAATACTATTCACTTTACAAATTTTCCATAAATGAATAGTGAAAATACTATGCATAAATAGTAATAAAACATTCATGTGGGCCATCCACATATCATTCACAATAGTTTATATACATGTGAGTTGGGATTAGTGGAAGATTCCAAGGATCACGTGATTGTTCACGTGTGGGTTGTACAATCAGTAACCCGTGATTATGCAAGAAAATTCATGGGATTTGTGAGTAGCATTATTGTTTGTTGAGGAAGTGACGTTTTTCGGTTTTTGGTATCATGTAATATTATGTATATTATGACCCGTTTTCTTGTTTGATAAATATAAATAATTAAATTTTCGAGTAATGATATTCATATTATACTTTTATACCACATTTTTATGCTATCTTGGGTGGCATCTGATGTGGATAGCCACATCATTTGAAAAATTTGCAAAACCCAAGGAAGGAGCAAGACTCCTCGTATATCATAATCATCATTTAATTAACTAGTTTTTCTTAATTATTAGTTTATTAAATAATAAACTAAATTTAAAAATCAGATTAATTCAAATGATGTAGCTGTCCACATCAAATGTCATATAATATGGTATGAAAATGCAGTACAAAAACAAAGTATGAATAGCATTACTCTAAATTTTCTCTAATTTAATAGGTTAATTGTAAAAATAACCTTTAAATGACGATTAAGAAAGCAAACAACTTTCATTATTGGGTGGATGCAAGTATTTTTTTCAAAAATAACCCAAAAAAACAAAGAAGGAAATTATGAGGAGAAGCAAAACTTGCACAGACTTATCGCTAATGTTGGCAGAACTAAACGTGCAGATTACATTTTATAAACTAAATAATTCAAAATTTAATTATTTAATTATTAATTTAATATTGTTCAATATACTTATTTTTAAATAATAACATATTATTTAGTTTATAAATTTAATTTACATAGCACTAGGCAAGGCTTATTTATTAGGGATCAGGATCTTCTCGTGAGCGAAGAGTTAGGATTCTTTTAACCAAGCCCATCGGACCGTTAAAATTTTATCCAACGGCTACAATTATTATAACTTTAAAAGAGCATCTTGTTTGTAACTGTTGAATAAAATTTTAACTGTCTAATATATTTGATCAGGAGGATTCTCATCCTATTCAGGAAAGGATTCTGATCCATTTATTAGGAGCCTGCGGCAGCGGAGGCTTTCCCAACGCTATCATGTGAGGTACGGCTATCATTCATCATTGGCTGCTTTTCCATTCGCACGTTTGGGTTTGTACGGCCCGTTGCTGAAAACGAGGTGATAAAATAAAACTTGTGATATCATATTGTATGTCACTTAACTAAGAAATTAAAATAAAACTATGGCAATTTATTGAGAGATTATTTTAAATTTTTTTAGCTTCTCGTACCTCTTTTTTTGGTTAGTTACGGTATTAGCGAAGCCAACTTTTCATGTAAATGTAATCAACACAGGCTCTAGTACATAAACTCTAGTTGGCTAGAGCAATTTGCTATTCTTTTTGCACTAAATTTTTAGTTTTAATTTTTACATAGTTTTAATGAATTAGTGTAAATTATCTTATTGTTTAAGCATTTTTTTTTTGTGCACATCTTAATCATTTGTTAGATTACATGTTTTTAAAACTCTAACGTATAATATACATATATACGTAATTTTCATGGTTAATACACGTTATTTCACACATTTTCAATAATACATAATATTTTCACAAATTTTATGCGTTTTTATCATATTAATGACAAATATTAAAAACTAAACAAGGCCAATTTTTTAGGAAAGTTGTCGAAGTATACACATACGTATTTTTCACGTACTATATATATTTGTTTTGTATTTTACTAACTATAGTTGTAAGGAAAGATTTTGATTTTTGTGTCGTTAGAAAGGATTGCCATGCAGTTTTAGATCGAGAAAGGCAAAGTGCAGGTCATTCAGTTCATAAGAATCTCTTTACAGTGTCGACTTTAAGAGGTAGCAACTTGTGCCATTGCACAGGACCCCCACCTCCAACGAGCCCCCAACTTTTGACTGATATATGGTCAGATTAATTGAGTGAGGATTCTCGCGGCATCTTGTGAGGATTTCGAGGATCTTCAAATTACATTTGTTTATTGTACATTTTGTGGTCAGAAATTATTGTAAATATTTTTATTTAAAATTGAATATAAACAGTACCTGACGAAAATTGGTTGCACGATATACGATGAACAGATGTGATTGAAGGATCCTTAGGATCCTCACAAAAAGAATCCGGTGAGAATCCTCTGTCAGATTAATTAACTTTACGATTTGAATACTTTATTTCTTGCTTAGGTTGAGAGAATGGAGTAAGAGATAAAGAGCTTAAGGAAAGAATATGTGGATTTTCTATTTCAAAATTTTAATATCATTTGTTGATAAAAATCTGCCGTTGAATTTAGTGCTTTACTATATTATTCATCATTTTGTTTTGTAGGAAGGAAAGATTATTATTTTTTAAATATTAAAATTGAAAAAAAAAAACCTATATGAGTCAAATCTCATATTATGAAAGAGAGGAAAAAGTTGAAAATCGAGTGCGTGAACAAACAATCAAACTATGATTACCATACTTAATCAATTGAAAACAAATAAACACTACATAATTGCGAAGAAGACTACATAATGTGAAGAGATTACATCTTGACAAACTTATATCCAACTAAATTACAAAACACTGTATTTATAAAGAATTAAACCTAATCTTAATATCCAAATCCTTAACTTACAAGAAAACATTAAGAAACTAATACTAAATTACCCTTACACTAGTGTAGAAAATATCGTTTGTTTAGGTATTCCTCTTCATTTGTAAGTGAGAGGTCTTAGGTTCAATTCTCGCCAAAGGCGAATTTGAACCACATTATTACTAGCTCATTGTGAGGCTTAGCCTACTCTCCCATCCTTGGGTTAAGACCTTAAATTTTTAACCCAAAAAATTTAGGTTTTACTCGGAAACAATTTTTCTTCCCCAACTCTTTTGGGTAAATTTTTAGCCCGATATTGTTAAAGGATTAATTTAGGGTAATTCTTTCTTAAAGTAACTTTTTTTAAGAAAAAAATTATGCAGACTATCCTAATTTAATTTTATGAACATTTTAACCTAAAAATATTTAGATTCTGATAATTATTGAAAAATCACTAAACTGACACCATGAAACTCGTGGAACACTATGAAAGAATATGAAACACATAAAATAATTTTTTTTTAAATTACTTTAGCTGTTGGATTGAAATTTAGACCATTAGATCTTTTTTTTCTTTTTTTTTAACCATTGGATTTGATCATATTAGATCATATTAGATGATAACTGTTGGATTCAATGAATTTACAAATATAAAATTTGAAAAAAATACATATATATGGTGGGCCAACCTCACAAACCCAAGGGAAATCCTAGAGCAAGTTGAGGTAAGTTTAGAACCTAAAATTTGAGTTTTAGTTCAACGGTTAGGTCTTAGGTAGATAATATCGTTTGTTAAAAAAAAAAAAAAACTAATTAACTTTTCAAAGAGAGAGAGATTCTAAACTGATGAGGTCTTTTAAGTCAAAGATCTTGATTAAAAATTAAAAATCAACAACGTTTTAGTTAAAAAAATTAGTAGTTAAAGACCGAAACCTAATTTTCTCATAATAATTTCTTAGATCTAAATTATAATTCGCATTTTCTGATTCTTAAAAGTAAGTCTTAGACAAACAAAAACAGTAGAACCCGAAAAAGATTTTCAGCGACTTGCAACCCTAGTTCTCTTTCATTTAGCCTTGAGGTTGAACGTGCTGCATGTTTTGTTACAATCTCATTCTTTTCCATCACAAGATCTTGCTAATTTACTGGGTATTAAAAAGCATAATCTGTCTTTTGTAACAACAAAAAACAAACTACTATGGCTAGCTAGCTACTACAAAGTAAGGCATCTCGCACTTGACACTGTGCTTCATGCATGCATGTTGACGATTACAGCTCTGGTTCATCTCCCTAACTCATAATCCTTTATAAGGAAATGATTTTCGCACATTCTTATTTTCTATTTCTGCACACGTTAATGTATGAAAATTACTTCCGTTTTAAAATTTGTAGATAACAATATATATGAACTTCCAACCATAGGAAAAGAGAACAAGAGATGAAATTTAGGTTAACCCATTTATCATATATAGCCCAAGCTTGTTCACATTAATTAAGGAACTTTTTAGCTTACATTTGTTCATTATTCACATTAAACGTACTACCTGATTACCCTGTATTTATGTTTTTTTTTTTTTTTTGGTTGGACAAACAATATTATCTACACTAAGGAGAGGGGATATGGTTAGCCTCACACTGAGCTAACAATAATGTGGTTCAAATTCGTCTTTAGAGATAATCAAACCTAAGTCATCTCACTTACAAGTAAAGAAGAATACCACTAAACTGTAATACTAAGTGGAACGTTGTTCTTATACCATGAAAAAATTGTGATTTGCATTGATTTCATTAGTATAACAGTGTACAATATATATAGTTACATCATGATTAGAAAACTATTTGAGCAAAATACAAAAAACTACCTCAACTATTAGTGTCACGACACTTTCATACCTTATCTTTTAAAATTAACAATGTCATACATCATCTTTAGAATTTGTGTCAATGTTATACCTTCCGTTAGTTTAGCCGTTTATTTCTCAGTTAAATACTGACATGGCTTGATCTGGGACCCATTTTTTATTAAAAAATTATTAAAAACAAAAAAAAATTCATTTAATATTATTTAATTATTTAAATAATTAAAAAAAATACATAAAAAAATAAAAAATAAACCTCCCTTTCGTCCCTCCCTCCTCTCTCTCTTCCCCCCCATCTTCCTGCAACCCCAGAAAGAAGAAGAGGAAGAAGAAGAAGAAGAGAAAGTAAAAAAAAAAAAAAAAAAAAAAGCCCCAAACCAAACCCAGTTTGTCCCCCCACCACAAACGCAACCTCCTGCAACCCAGAAAGAAAAAGGAGGAAGAAGAAGGAAAAAAAAAAAAAAAAAACCCCAACCCAACCCGAAGGAGGAGGAGGAGGAAGAAGAAGAAGAAGAAGAAGAAGAAGAAGAAAAGAAGAAGAAGAAGAGAGACA